TAGATTCCCAAGAGCGTACTTTAGGCGCGTATTGGCTTATTATTGACGATGCCTTTGTCTTCCAGTTTGAAGCAATCCGGAAACCATTCACTAAGAGAGGACTGCTATCGTATGTTGCTTCTCTGTATAATCCTCTGGGTCTCGTTACTCCAATACTTCTGACGGAGAGAGTATTGTTACAAGCACTTGATCGCAAAACGCTCTGATGGACTGAACCAGTAGGTGAGAATGACCGGCGCACATGGGAATCTTTAGTTAGTGAAGTTAACAGCTTAAACGAATCAAAGATGCCAAGGTGTATAGGGAGTGAAAACCAAAGATCCTGTGAGTCAACCCCACTGCACATATTCAGTGACGCGTCTGAATCAGCTTACGGGGTCGCAGTCTACTTGAGGGACAGTATAAATGGTAATATTGTATGTAACCTCGTCATGGCTAAGTTTCGCGTGGCTCTACTTAAGGCAGTTACCATACCTAGACTAGAGCTGGCGGCTGCCGCTGTAGCGATTAAGTTATGTGATACCATAAGCCGGGAGTTGGATATTTCAAAGGGGTCTATATTCTGCTGGACTGATTCAACAATTTTAATTTATTACATACATAACAGGTCAGCTCGTCATAGCACATTTACAGCTAACCGATTGGCTATATTACATGAAAGCTCAACACCTCAGCAATGGTATCACGTAAGGGGAACAATTAATCCTGCAGACCACGGCACTCGCGGTCTGAAGGCGGACGACCAGAAGTGAGAAAGTTGGCTCCGGAGGGCCGCCATTCCTGAGAAGCTTAGAAGAAATTCCTCCAATCAAATTGATCTTCACTGAAGAAATCGAAGGGCAGATTGAGCTTAAGCGCACAGTGACCATCAACCAAACAAGTGTTGCGATGAGCGTCAATTTACTTTCTTATCATTTGCATTGGTATAAGCTATTGCGAGCAACAGCTTGGTTGAGACGCTTTACGCAATATATCAGCATAATGTTTGAGAAGAAAGGTGCCTTGTCATCACGGGTGGGTAGACTGTCGACATAGGAGATTGAGCTTGCATGCAACAATGTTGAGCGTCTAGTTTAAGCAGAATTGTAATCAGACGATCAGGTTTCGCTAATGGAGGCTAAGGGGCGCGTGCACCGGGGTAGGCCCCTACGTAACTTGTGTCCAATTGTAATAAATGGAATGCTTCCAGTTGGTGGTCGACTGCAATACGGGCACTTGCCAATTGACGCAATACACCCAGCTATCCTGCCAGAAGACACCATGTAACAGAACTTTTCTTACGTTACTTTCATAAGAAGGAACGTCATTTAGGGCCCGAGCATATATTATCTGAAATTAGGAGACGGCTCTGGATAACAAGAGGTGGTGCAGCAGCAAAAAGAGTTCTGAGCAAATGCGTTCACTGGAGTCCACCGATTGAGCTTCTAAGACAAGGTTAATTGTTCAAATTGTTGTTTGACAGATTTGAAGTTTCTATGTCTGGTTTGTAACAATTGAAAGAAAATTGAATAACAGACCGCTAGTGCCACTCCTTGTCGGATGATAAGGAAAGAGAACCTTTTGCTGTTGACAGAGAACAATGAAAACTTGGGTATTGCCATGAGAAAATCATACTAAGCGATGGAGGCAAGCGTTTCACATTTAGTAAAATGTTGATAATTGTCTCGAATAGTGGCATATGATCGCCATCGTTTTTTGTTGCTCGTTTGAGCGTGCACTGATGTTGTTAAAGGGCAGAGCAATCAGTGAAGTTCGCTTCACTGTATTTCGCTGTACGATGATAACTTCAGCGGATGATTTTCCGCATCATGACTCTTTTGCGTGTGAATGTGTATGATTAGTGTGCGCCTGTTGTGATGGTTGTTGGGTAGGATAATTAGGATGTTTTAACTGCAAGTGGACCAGCCTACCGCCATTGCTTAGCATTCCTCTGATTAGTATTGACGAAAGCTTCTCGAGAGAGGTGTGATGTGCTGATCCTTTGTCCACATCTACTTCTACCTGCCTCGGTCGCTTGCTCTCCGAGTGAAAAGCTTGCGAATGGGCTGTTTTCAACTCATGGAAAATGATTGGTCCAACGCTCAGGGACTGCTGAACAATCTGTCCCCAAATTACCAAATGCCAATCGAGCCTTCTGTCTGCTTGCAACCACTTCATCTGCGACGCGTCCTCCAGGTCAGAGATAGCCGCCCAAATAACATAAAAGCTCTTCTACTTCTTCCTCATAGTGTGTTTGACGGCTGAACCAACCCAATCTTGGAGCAAGATGTTGCACTATGGAGGTGCGAAACGCCTACTGAACATGGCTACACTGGCTTCATGTAACGCGAATAAATTCAACGTTCGGACCATCGCTAAAGTCTTTGGAGTCCAATACCAGAAAAAATAGGCGTTCATGGTTTTTTGACTCAGCTCACTGATTTCATTATATTATATAATTTTGGCTTAAGATGGTTTGTTTTACTAAACTGTTCGTTGGTGTCTGGCGGTTCGTGGCACTGTGCATCGCTCTTGCTGACTGAACGGTGAGTGTTTTGACTGTCACGCGTTCTTATCTGATCCATTTGTAGATGCGCGCTAAGTGGCGTAAGAAGCGAATGAGGAGGTTGAAGCGCAAGAGGAGGAAGATGAGGAACAGGAGCAAGTAGACTCTCACTGTAATCTTTTGTAAATTGTGAAAATAAACTCTTGCACGTGGTTTGTCGACTTTTGCTTGGCCGCGGTTGTCATCCGATATAGACTGTGGTTACTGTTCGTCCACAGGTAATAATAGCAACGGACGATATGGGTGATTTTTCAGACGATGACGTTGACGTGGAGGACTTGGACGTAGTGGAGTTGGAGGAGATGGATACGATCGACTTGGACGATCCAGGTGGGCCTTTATTTTGCCTCTGGTGGTAGTGGATATGGCCGTATCGTGGTTGGCTCATCTAGTGCGTGTGGGGTCACGGTTTCATTAGTCGTGTTCGACTGCATTTCTTCGCCTTTTGCCTCGGGCGTACGTAGAGATTGCCATCAATCATGATGTAGGGGAATGTTACAAAGCTTTACTGTATCATTGATCGTGGACTTCTCGTAGCGCTTCGCGATTGTTCTGAATCAATTGAAGGAGCTAGCGTTTACCTCCCGCTCTGGTTGAATGGGATAAACGGGTGAGATTTAGCTCTCAGTGGTCTGACGGCGAACACGGTTGTGTAACATTACTTTACTTGTTGAAGCTGGTCTAATACGTCCGGATTACTCAGCGGTGGGAGTGTGTACTGGATTTTGTTTCATTCTTTTACAGAGGAGCAGAATGACCCGGACATCGCTGAACGCATCGACCGTTTTACCCCTCCCAGGGATGATGCCCTCGCTATTCTGGAGGGGCATAATGGTAAGCAAGTTTTGTTTGCACGCGATATCTGCTTTAATAACTGGTTTATTTTTCAAAATTACCCCAAAGTACAACTGTTGAGTCGCTCGATGGCCTTCGTACTTCCTACCAAAGATGTAACGTTGCGAATATTTTTGACTGGACTTATTGTTTGGCACTATCATATCATGGAAGAACACAGTGGTACATCACGGTTTTGACAGCGACTCGTGAAAAATATCAAGTATAGAGGCCCGAGGAGGCGAAGCGAGGAATGGGTTAATGTGTATTATGTCAACAAATGGCAGTTGTTTCAGGTCGGCAGGTGAAGAGCACTGTATCACTTGGCGCGGTCGGAAGAGAATGGTGCTACTTTAAATCAGTAGGAGTGGAGTGTTTCGAACCTCTACTTCACAAGGTTCGCGGCTCGGAAAAGAAATACGGCAGAGTGTTCTCGTATTTGCAAACCTGAGTCGTGCACTGGCAGTCTCAATACCGATTCACTGATCCCCTGTCTAACCTAAACCTTGATAGGTTTGTGGGAATACGCGAGAGACCTCCAGAGATATATAGTGACAACGGATCAAGTTTCACGCGTGCTGTATCAGACGCTGGAACGGATACAAGATTAATAACCGTCTTGCATTTGATGAGATAAAATGGTTGTTCAACCCCTTTTGAAGTCGTCGAGGAGAAGTTTGAGAGCATGATCCGCTCAGTGCGCATGTTACTGATTGTACTGACTCGGGAACAACTAATGGCTGAGGGAACGCTGTCAACCTGGTTTGTTCAAAAATTGTTGTTCGGCAGATTTGAAGTTTGTATGTCGATTGTGAAAAGTTCAGTAGCCTCGGTGGGATTCTAACCCACGCATGGACGCCGCCTACGCTTGGTACGCGCGCGCTCTACCAGCTGAGCTACGAGGCCACACCGATAGCACTGATCTTTTCACATTCGAATTTACCCATCCAACTCACAGAGGTATGTGGCATCCACCAGTTAGCATGTAAGCTGATTGCCCCGACAGGTTTTCCTTGGAATTCACTGGAGTCCACCGATTGAGCTTCTAAGACAAGGTTAATTGTTCAAATTGTTGTTTGACAGATTTGAAGTTTCTATGTCTGGTTTGTAACAATTGAAAGAAAATTGAATAACAGACCGCTAGTGCCACTCCTTGTCGGATGATAAGGAAAGAGAACCTTTTGCTGTTGACAGAGAACAATGAAAACTTGGGTATTGCCATGAGAAAATCATACTAAGCGATGGAGGCAAGCGTTTCACATTTAGTAAAATGTTGATAATTGTCTCGAATAGTGGCATATGATCGCCATCGTTTTTTGTTGCTCGTTTGAGCGTGCACTGATGTTGTTAAAGGGCAGAGCAATCAGTGAAGTTCGCTTCACTGTATTTCGCTGTACGATGATAACTTCAGCGGATGATTTTCCGCATCATGACTCTTTTGCGTGTGAATGTGTATGATTAGTGTGCGCCTGTTGTGATGGTTGTTGGGTAGGATAATTAGGATGTTTTAACTGCAAGTGGACCAGCCTACCGCCATTGCTTAGCATTCCTCTGATTAGTATTGACGAAAGCTTCTCGAGAGAGGTGTGATGTGCTGATCCTTTGTCCACATCTACTTCTACCTGCCTCGGTCGCTTGCTCTCCGAGTGAAAAGCTTGCGAATGGGCTGTTTTCAACTCATGGAAAATGATTGGTCCAACGCTCAGGGACTGCTGAACAATCTGTCCCCAAATTACCGTCACCGACGCATGAGGAATTCGCGTTCCGGAGCGTATTCGCAGTGTTTGAGCCGTAAGAAACCGGATTTTTTTGGATATAATAATATGCATGGTATTCGATGCTTGAACTGAGCAAAACGGAATTTTCGGCGCGGTATATATGCGGATGTGAATCCCGTGTACTGTAATTGTGGGTGTGGTAACTACCGCTTTTGTATATCGGGAATGATTGCAACTTTCAAAGGCAAACCACTGAATGTTGAGGAAGTTGAACAATAGTGGGGACGAACTTCATTTCTCAGCTGTTAGATTGTAGAGTACAGATCTCGATCGACGAACAACCTCATTGGGTGGTGTCTCAAATGTCAATGGTTTGGATTTAAGGTGAGCGTTACGCAGTGGAACAGTGGTTTAGTCGTTTATCACAGGCGTGCTTTGGACTGTATGGTCCGAAGTTCGAGCCCCACGATCACCACCCGAATTTGGTGGTAGGCAACTTTGTTGTCCTCCGGTTCAAGACTACACCTAGCCTATCGGTGCTTTATGTGGTTCGCTACTCCATGTCCTGCCGGGCTTCGGTTACCGGTTGCCATCCCTGAACAGCAGGTCCTCGTGACTATGGGGCTTTCCTTTTTTTTATTACACAAAGTGAATTACAGTAAACGGGGAAACCCCCATGTGCAAAATAGCATACTGTAAAGGGGAGAGTAGGAGAACATTCACGTAAGATCCAGTTTATTGATTGTGTGTTTAAAGGGTGTAAG